TTAACAATTATATTTCAGTTTGATTTAGGTAGGTTGTTTGTTTTGGTAACTATAATTTTTGTGGAAGTTGATTTTTCTTTTTAGTTTTTTTTTCTTTTTCTTTTTTCTTTTTAGTTTTTTTTTTCAATAATAAATATAAGAAAATAAAAATAAAGTAACAGAATAAAATTATATATTAACCTGATTTATTTGTGGAATGTTTGAATTTAAATAACACGTTTATATTTCCCCCAGAAGAAAAAAATGCTATACCGGCTTTCTTTGAGGAGACTATTTTCGGTTTAACGAAGTTAAACAGTTCCCCAATAATGTTCACATAAATTGTTATAATAGGTTTTTATAACATCCACTGTTATATTAAAGATATATCCATGTTCTTATTACATTTGTAACTCCTCGAAATCATCTGTATAAAGGGTCTATATAGATGGAGCTACTATTCTTAATCAGGGTAACATTCTAAAACGCATTGCGATAAGGTGCTAAAATTTCCCAGCAGCCAAATCATACTTGAAGGTGGGAGGCTAAAACGGTGGACATTTAGGCATATCTCCCAGGGGATCCCCGTTTTTAGATGCTTTGATATTTTGCAACATTTGGTCATTTAGCGATAACCCGATAAAAGATAACTTACATTTTCAGTACTTGGATAGTGTGTTGTATCCTTGCAAAAAATTGTCCGTGTAGACCAACCTTTAAGCCCCTTTTTATAAGTCAAGGAAAACCCATCTTCGAACTTGATTTATGTTTGAAAGATTAATCGATTATCGTGCGCACCAGCTGGCCAGACAGATGAACATTTGTAAATAGACACTAAATTGTCTGAAACGGATTTGGCCCAAAGAAGCATGGGGTCTAAAACCAATATTTCGATGAAGCATATTATTTGACACGCAAAAAGGAAATTTGCCTTCGAAAAACCCCGGATGACTGGGGAGATTCGGAACAAATGTAAAGAAATCCGAAGACTGTAAAATTTTTGTAGTCTACTGGGTCAACTTCCACGCTAAAAGGAATGACCACAACAAAATGACAAGAACCACTAAACGAAACTCCTGGAAAAGTTTATGTGAACAGGTGGATAGCGTAAATGACGTCTCAAAAAATAAAAAAGTTGTTTTTTATCAAAAACCAACACTCAAACCGAAACCATGGGAGATGAGGGGGAGACAACAAAAGAAACAGTAAGACTTCTCATGAATGCTCAATTCACCCCGAACACATCGACATGTAATGAAGTAACGGTGCTAAGTGAGGAAAGATACGAGGAAATTACGATTGATGAACAATGTGTGCGATGCATTACAGAGCCTTTCAAATATTAGCCACATACCTGCTCGATTCCACAATGGAGGGGTCTACGATCTGAAACGAACCGAGTCTTTGTTGCTGTTCCTAAGTCGATCCCACCCTAGGATTGAGGAGGAATTGATATTAAGTTGTTGTTGTTTTGTATTTGTTGTATTTTTTTTATTATTTTGGTTCTGACTCCTCTGTTCAGAAAGGTTGTAATCTGGATCGGCTGCGTCCTAATCTCATTGGAGACAATTAAGTGAGTTTAGAAGGGCAGTTAAAGAGATTCAGCGTATCATGAGATCCAAGTCCACACGCAGGGCATGTGTTTGGTATGGTGCTGACAATTCGGGCCCAATACGAAGATGGCTGAACCATCTTGATCTTAATTCTTATGCTGCTATAGGTGTTGGGTGGACTCCAAGTACTGCATTCACATGGTATTTGTCCACTGCCTGGGTCACTGCTTCCGTGTGAATGTTGGTAATTCCTGACCGATAATCCTATTGGTCTAGGGCTTATCTTTTATACCGTTGGACCTTTTCACTCTCTAGATCATTTAGGTCTCTCCTTAAATGCCGGTGTGGGGGAATTCTATCCATATGATGATGACAGGATGATTCCGGCGCAAACTCTCAAGCAGGAACTACATCGACAATATCCTGTTGTGACGATCTGCGGTAAAGACCATTGCCTCCTCGTGTAAATGGTGCATTGTTGTCATAAGGTGGCCTGTCGCAGTTTTCAGAGCGACATTCTGACATGTGACTGTTCTTCCACTGCGTATCGCTTACATTCGCAAACCACACTGGCGCCGTATAGCTTACTTTGTAGGAGGTCAACAAGGTATCTTTAACAGCATCCTAAGAGCTGCCGGCAAGCGACTTAAGGGCCTTGTTCCTGCTTCTCATCATATCGCAATTAGCTGTGGCTACCGCGGACGACTTTAAAAAGCTATCGAACGTTACCATGTAATCTACATTTCAGTCGTTCATGTGGTGAAAAGAGTGAATGTGGATTTAGCGGCAGATATCTTCAGCTATATAGACATTTAACCTTTGACAATCGTCGTCGATAATGGGATATGATATTTATTTGGAACCGCTGCTGCCGCTGACACAACTCCTGCTTTGATCTCGTGTTTGCCATCCTTTAGCGACGTCTTTTTAGAGGTCCCGACAGGGGTAGCCACCGTACGCGAGGTAGGAATTTGGCCGATGGAAGTTCCTTAGACGTCCTTACGACCTTAAGGGACTGCCTAGGGGAGTTGCAAAGTGGGGATACCCTTCCGGAGGAACTGCTACAAAATTTAACCCTGGCTGATGATGAGCTAAACACCGCGGTGATTCTGGTTATGTCTACACAGGAAGATTACTGTAGCATCAACGAAGGAAGTTCAGACCCTGTTGACCAACCGAATGCAATTCTGATTCCGACTGTCCTGTATTGGCACAAGCTCCAAAGGCAGACCGCGACTGAATCGATGTCCGGCGATGGGGAAACTATCGAGACCCCAACAACGGACAACGACTCAAAGGTCGGAACTGCCCGAAAAGCATCCGATTCGAATCACTTGCGCAGAGAAAAGTGCATCTCATCAAGATTAAGATGAAATTCGCAAGAAAATTCGAAAGAACGTATCCGCACGCTATTCATCGTGAGCTCCCGATGGTGAGGATCTTCCTCCCGAAAGTAAAATAACACAGTCGGCGAAACCCACTGTCTCTGGCAAAGGTGTGGAGCCTACTTCTGATCCTAAGCCTAACCCGAGTCAAAATACAATGGAATAAGCTGTTGAGTACACCCCGAAACCAACTGACACCCATAAGGGTGATCGATGAGTGAAGGACTCTGTCTCAAAGTCTGATTCTACGCCAATTAACAAAGGTGAAATACCCCCACCGTTGCTCGGCAAAGGAAGAAGGTCAAGTCAGGCAATGAACCATTGTCTTCTGGAGGAATGAATACTGCCACACAGCACAATTCTGTGAATATCGCTGGCAATAACAAAATGGCTTGGTACTATTGGGTGCAGGAGCCACCGTTGTCGGAACGGGAAGAAGTTCATGTCAGACAAGAAACCTTCGTCTTCTGGTGGAATGAATACTCCCCCACAGCACAAATCTGTGAATATCGCTGACAATAACAAATTGGCGTGGCACTTTTGGGTGCAAAAGCCGCCAGTGAGGTTTCTAAAGTTGCTTTTAACTTCTATCCCTTCAATTTTGCCTACGTATCTACGACGGGTTCTGCTTCGGAGAAGCCAGCTGGGATGCTCTCCTGGCTTAGGCGGTGTCCGAATCCGAGTTCATTCATTTACTGGTTTTCATTTGAATGATAGGAATATTGGAATATTTTTCTGCCATCCCTGTTTTAATTTTTCGATTTAGGAGAATCTTTTAAGAATAAAAACTACACGAAATTTAACATTTAAAAATATAAACATATTCATTTGAAAATACACACAGAAAGATAAGATTAAAAATATTGCTTATATTACAGCACTAATTTTGTAGAGATAGCTATCACCACGAACTCTACACAAGAATATTCTAAATTGACATACATTTAGTTTTTTTTTTTTTTTTAAATACGCATTGAAGGAAAAGAATTGTAATAATAGTAACTTATGTATTTTAGTTCTTGCTTAGTAGATCGAGAGCAAGATTAGTGGCAGAGAACTATAAAATAATTGATTTAAAAAATAATACTACACATTTAGAAAAAATCTTATATAAAATAGTGAGAGTGCAATACATATTATTTGTATAATGAATTATGAACATATGTGGAAATTAAAATTAAACAAAGATTTTAATATAGACATATTAAAGGCGACAAAAATGTCTTCGTGTCGCCAAGGCAAAATTTGTGTTATAACAATAGAAATAGCTTAAATAAAACAAAAATTGTGTGTACATATTTATAATATAATAAAGATTTTAAAACAAATCCATAATAATAAAAAATATTTATTTTTAATATTAATTTGGGTTAATCACTGGGTATATGGTATGTTTGTCTCACGAAAGTTAATGAAAGGCAATATACAATGAGTTTTTTTGTTGTTTTGCCATGAAAATCGATTTTTAAACTAATTAACCTAAACATTAAATATTTATATGTATAGACACTAAATTAAAAAAATAGTGTTAACCTAGTAATTTTTTTTCTATGAAATATAAAAGGCAAAGTATTTTTTTATTATACAAAATAAAATAAACTATAACATGGGAAAATCTATCTATTTATGGAACAACATATAGCTATGAGAAGATGAAAAAAGGTGGAAAAAAACTAATGAAAAAAATAATAAACAAAAAATTGGAAATTGTTTAGGATAAACTCACAGTTTCTGAAATGCCTTACAATTGTTTTGAAATATCACTCAGCGTTCAAAAGTATCCGCTGTTGTGCTTGGAAAATCATTTTGATTATTTTGGTAGTATTGTGTGTAGTAGAGGGGGGGTTATTCAGGTAGACAATAGATTTGAGGGGTGGAGGAAGGAAATGTAGTTGAATAACGAATGCATTTTCTTGCAGCTGTAGTTATAGGAGAAATAGAATACAATAATTATTTAAGACTACATAACTTAAATTATTCAAAATTTATAGTAAATTATATGTAGGTGTTTGTTTTTTCTTGTATGTTATTCTGAGTGTGTAGGTGTTTTCTTGTTGTTATTCTGCACACATATATATGTATGTATATATATAGAAAAATAATACCTAGTTTAAATTATTTTTTAAATGGTAATATCACCATATTCTTGAGACCATTTTTCATATGACGTCAAGCTTTGGGGTGCCACTGAGCGACGTATACGTTTCAGGGAATTATGAAAATCATTTTCAGTTATTGGACGCATAGCACTGATATCCAAACACTTAACTTGTTCCACATTTAATTCGCGTATTGGTTCCAATGCTGCATCTTTGGCCAATGCTGTTAAATCGCTGCCAGAATAACCTTCGGTGAGTTTTGCCAGACGCTTCAAGGCATCTGTATCCAAGGGGCTACCTTGCTTTTGCAGCAAACGACGCAGCAATAATTCTCTTGTTTCCAAATCGGGTAACGAAACATAAACCCGTTTTGTAAAACGCCGCAACGCCGCCTCATCTAATTCTTGTGGACGATTTGTTGCCGCTAAAACAACAATACGATCACCATCTGGATTACCCGGCAGACCATCGAATTCGACGAGAAATTCCGTCTTTAAACGTCGTGAAGCTTCATGTTCATTACTGCTACGTTCAGAGAGCAGTGAGTCGACTTCATCAATGAAAATGATGGATGGTTGCATTTCACGGGCCACGGCAAATAAGGCTCGCACCAATTTTTCACCATCACCCACGTATTTACTTGTTAGCGAGGCGGCTGAAATGTTCAAAAACGTAGCACTACATTCGGTGGCAACAGCTCGAGCGAGTAAGGTTTTACCATTACCAGGTGGTCCGAACAAGAGTAAACCTTTGGCGGGTGCTCTGAGACCTAGGAAAAAATTAAATTTAGAAAAAAATTGATTATTCAAATTTGGTAATGGAAACATTTAAAGAATTAAACAAGATAACATTAATTTCCGCCGAGCATTACATTACATCCACTTGCGGTGTAAAATTCCTCTATAACCTTAAAAATATCTGAAATATGATGAAACTGCGGATATCAAAAACCGAGTGAATACCTTTCAAAAAAATAGATATGTTTTCCTTCTGTGGAGAAATGCGGTTAATATTTTTAAAATACCTTAAAATACCTTACGGTTGTGTTCAAAGTGAAGATGGGGTTAGGTGAGTGGGTTTGGCAGGGCAGTTGAAGAGGTGTAATATGTCATGTGGACCACTACCACAAGCCGGGCAGATATAGTCCACCGTGTCAGTAATTCGTGGCTAATACAAATTGAGACGGCTACACCACCCAGACAAGAAAACTCTGGTTTGTTGGTTAAAAACGTATAGTGTAGTTCCTGTTAAAAGGAGATTTTGTAAAATTAATAAAGATGACTGGTTTAAGTCTGCTGAAATTCGGTATCACTTGTCTCTTCGTGACATTTCTTATAGGTCCTATCTTCGGGACAAAAGTGTTGAAAATTGGAAATTGTTTTGTCGCTGTCGTAACCGAGCCAAAAAAAATATAAGAAAACTAAAATTTATTGCTCATAGGGATATGTTTGCCAATAAATCCACAAAGGAAGTGTGGTCAATTTTAAATAAAAACGGTTTGTGTACTGATGACAGAGAAGTCGGGAATGTTGATGTTGAGGCTCTGAATTCAGCTTTTGTTTCGAATCAATCCGTAGATGTTTTTGATGTTTCTTGTATTCCTGTTGATGCTTTTGATGGTTTTTCCTTTTGTGCAATTGATTTTGCTGAGATTGTTGATGCTTTCAATAAAATCAAGTCCACGGCAGTTGGTTATGATGGATTTCAGCTAAAATTTCTAAAGCTTGTTTTTCCCCTTGTTGGTCAATTTTTGTTGCACGTTGTCAACTCTATGTTAACAATGTCTGTGTTTCCAGAGATGTGGAAAATTGCAAAAATAGTGCCTATTCAAAAAAAGAATGGTGATTCTAGTGAATATAGGCCTATATCTATAATGCCGATTCTTTCTAAAATGGTTGAGTATGTCATGAAAGATCAAATGCTAGTTTATATTGGTGAAAATTCTCTATTACATGAGAGCCAGTATGGATTCAGGAGTAATCGCGGCACTGCATCTCTTCTCGTTGGATTGACTGACAATATTAGGAAGACTGTTGGTGCGGGAGGTTGTTGTGTGTTGTTATCAGTAGACTTAGAGAAAGCCTTTGACAAAATTAATCACGCTAATTTAATCAGAAAATTGCATCGTTTGTTCAATTTTTCGTCTTCAGCTTGTAAGCTTAGTTCGTCGTATTTGTTTGGAAGGAAGCAGTATGTTTGTTGTAGGAATGTTGTTTCTGGGATGCTCCCTGTGAGTAGTGGTGTACCCCAGTGGTCTGTACTTGGGCCTCTATTGTTTGTTATGTATGTTAATGATTTGCTAAGTTGTATTAGTAGTAGGAGCTGCATGTCATTTGCATTTGCTGATGACTTGCAGATTTTGTTTAAAGGAGAATATGTGTTTTTAGATGTATTGCAGTCCTCTATACATTTTAATATCAATGTGTTAGTAACGTGGTTATCTGCAAACGGACTCTCAATTAATACACGTAAGAGTAAAGTTATGTTTTTTGGGAACTTGCAAGAGAATTCAGTAAATGTTTCCATTTATAATAATTCTATAAATGTTGTAAGCTATATGAAATGTCTTGGTTTGTTTCTTGATAGTAGTTTGGTGTTTGATGTGCATGTTAATTCTTTGGTGTCCAAGGTAAACTTTATTTTAAGAAAGTTGTACTCTTTGGATATGGCTCCGCCTAAGAGCATTAGAATTCAATTGGCCCATGCATTGATTATGCCAAATTTTTTGTATTGTATTGAGATTTTTGGGGGTTGTTGTGGATATGTTTTACGTAAAATTAAACTCTTGTTCCATAGGGTTATGCGATATGTATATTGTGTTAAACGTCGTGATCACATTTCTCCTTACGTTAAAGAGTTCCTCGGTTGTACCTTTGAAAGTTTTGTGAGTTTAAGGTCAATGTTGTTGCTC